CTCTCCAGGCTTCAGCGAAAGCCTGCATCCGCCCCATAGGATGCACACACATTTCCCCTTCATTTTTGGAGGGGGAAAAGTGCGCCCTATAGGGCGAAAAATACGGTAGCTTCTTAAAGGTTAACAAATGTCTTATGGATAACATTTGTAGGTAACTCTCTGCTTCACCAAGAATAATTGAGGCACTTCTGGCATTTGGTGCAGACACCCCAAACAACATATGCCCTCCTGCTTTGGGCATCGTGGTGCATTGAAGCCTTGCATGAAGTGTGCTTTGTTAGAGGCTTGCTGCTGCTTTCCCCACCCCACTGCCTTGTTATGAGCGTATCCTGTTGTTCCTAGGCTTACAAAGTGCTTTCAGAGCCTCCAGCAGTGTCAGGGTCTCCTACTAATGACAGTCTAGAGCCTCAGCGTGCCTGGTGCTGCTCAACAAAGCCAGAGAAGGTGTTTTGTGGGATCAGCAGAATCTGGGTGTTCAGCCTCATGCGGAGAAGAGGTATTGCCAGTCGCCTAGTGGATGTGATGAGGTAAGGAAATGTAATATCTGAAATAGAAGTAGACAGTGTTCTCAGATACGACCTTCTGGGATTACAGCCACTTTTCAGTTTGCTTTAAAGGAGGTTTACCAGCAAGTAATACTTAGGAGCTGGTTCCTGCTTAAAGATCTGGTGTATGAACCACATACAGCAGGGGGTTGAGAGAACCTTGGAACTTAACTGCCTCTCTGACTCCCAAGCCTGGTGCATATGCTTTGGTCAGTGATAGTTTGGGGGGCTCTGTATAACAGAAACGAAACAATCTCCGTTCCTCCTCACCCCACCCAGAGGCCCACTTTCTGATGCAGATCACATCCTTGCAACCACCCCATGCATAAAACATTCTTCATGAACCAAGGCTTGTGAGAATACATTGCCATACAAGTGTGCCCCAACCATCACCCACGAGAGGTTTGCAGATCCTATACAACACATTGAAGCTTGGTGGGAGTCTTAAGTTTCCGATAACACTAGTTTTTTAAAACAAGCTTTTCCTTCTAATCCAGAAAAATGTGCCCACTGATTGTGAGTGTTCAGCGATGTGGGAAAAGGCACTCCTCGCATGTCCAGTGTGTTCCCCATTTCTTTAATACTGACAAATTGAAATATACAAACTGACCGTAAATTGAAATGAGCATGAAAACAGGACTGGATCCTTGTGTTACATTGATGACTTTTTATTTTCTTTTCCAGACGTACATTCTTATTTGGCTCTTTCTTAAACACCAACGAAATTGCTTTTTCTGATCCCACACCAGATGGCAAGCTATTTGCAGCCAGGTATTGCCGAAACACCCAACTTCCTTGTGTATAATTTCATTAATTAAGGTCAGTTGAGGGTGTCTTCCTACGAAGATTCAACAAGCTATTTTGTCATTTTCCTTGTGTTATATTCTGCATTTTAACATTGTAATATAAATTAGGAGCGGCAACAAACCGTGTTTGTGTTGCTTTAAAAAGTTTTATTCTGAAAGTTGAAACTTTCAAAGTTGATTGTAAGTTTTAGATGGTACGAAGAGAAGGCCAACTTAGTCTATCTACAGCTGACATCTGCTTGAGCTATTTGTATCCTCTGCCTCCAGCGTTCCGAAACTTTGAACTCCTTCTGTCAAGCCTATTACTATAATAGAAGGTTGGCTTCTTTGTTTAGCCAGCTGGATCTGAGGTAAGAGTTTGAAGCCAGGGGCCAGTGGTCCTTCAGATATTGGACCTAATGGTCAGAGATGACTGAGGGGTAGTTCTGCAACATCTAGGTGACTGATTCTCCATTCCTGCTTTAAGCTAAAAAAAGTCACTCTTGACAAAGAGTAAAATCTTCCTTACAGAATGGAGATAGGAAGAGTCTGAGATGTTCTAATGCTGCTATGGGCCAGTTAAATATTCTTTTTGCACCTGTTGGTAGCACTTGAGGCTACTTCTGCAATCCTAAAGCATTGGATTTTGAAGCCTGTGTTTGGGAACTGCTGCAATTATTGCACTAAACCTTGTTCAAACAAGTCTGTTCAAATAAAATATTTGTGTAATTTTGTCTCTTTGTGTTCATGTCAATATTGCTGTGTCTGGTGGGGTTTGTTGGCTTCCATCTGTCTTGGGAGACAATGGAAAAGTATGCCTTTGTGGGCGAAGTCTGTTAGGAATATGATAGGGATGCCAAAAAGTCTGGGCCATAAAGAGAACAACTTGTAGCAGTCTTCACAAGTTTAAATTGGGTTAAACAAAAATCACCTATATCCTTTCACTTGTAATGAAAATCATTGATAGCTAACTTACTACACTATTGTCTTTTCTATATGCCCAGATATGCTTTTCTATTCTACGTGCTCCAGAATTGTAAAGCCTATAAGGCTTCCACTTGAATAACAGTGGCTGAAAAGAACTGAAAAGCTCCCTCCCTTGTCGATTAGATTGCTAAGAGAATGTGGGGTCGGAGAGATAGAGAAGAGAACCAGGTGTAGATTTTTGTGTGAAAAGAGGTAGGGTTGATTCTGATATTGATCATGAATTACTGGGCTGAGCTTGTGCTCAGTTACACCGTCCGAAATTCTTTATTGTATCTGTGGTTCCTGCTGCAGGGGTTGGACCACAATCTAACTAAAATTTCCAACTGTACAGTTCTATGATTCTGCGTCTGCCTACTTCAGCCATGTCCTTGCACTCTGCTCTAGTTGATAGTTTCAGAGTCCTGGGGCAGGCAAGAAACTAGATCCCACAAACTTGGGAGTAGGCCCACCTTCTCTTTTGTGCATCATTCTATTTATACTACTAGTGGCATCTGTTGGGAGACAATGGAGTTACTTGTATTGAAATGGCAGAAGGAAAAGATTCACAATGGGCAAACACATCCTATCAAGCCTCTTGAAATGGAAAGGGGAGCTGATCTCACTGAAATGGAGGTAGAAAAGCTGGAAATGGGGCCTTGCTTTGTTATGTAATTTATCTTTTATCACCTAAGAGTAAGCTTCCTGGCTACCCCTTTCACTATGGCCTTGAGCTAATTTTCTGCTACACATACAGCCTGTTTGCTGAAAATGGGACTTTTGCCAGAAGGGGTTAAAACTACAGTGGTACCTCGGGTTACATACGCTTCAGGTTACAGACTCCGCTAACCCAGAAATAGTACCTCGAGTTAAGAACTTTGCTTCAGGATGAGAACAGAAATGGTGCTCCGGCGGCAGCAGGAGGCCCCATTAGCCAAAGTGGTGCTGCTTCAGGTTAAGAACAGTTTCAGGTTAAGAACGGACCTCCGGAACGAATTAGGTTCTTAACCCAAGGTACCACTGTATCAAGTTGAAGCGGCAGGGGAATCCTTTCGTTAATTTTCAGGAAGTTGGTGCACCAATGCAACTCCTACTTGTTTTACTCCTTTAAGTGGGTGCCAGAGCAATGCCATTGAGGTTATAGAACACTAACATCACAAATACACATTAGAGTGACTGAACAGCTTATGATGAATTTTAGGAAAGTTTTTTATGTGGGAACATCATCTCTTGTAGGGGTTTGTGTCAGATTCAAATGAAGGAGGCTGCCTCTGGGTTTATCAGAATAGAATCTCTGAAACAAAACCCTCTTCAGTATCATGGTCCTAATCCCCACATGGAATCCTTCCAGATGTCTTGTGCATGAGGTGGGATCGTCTTCTATAACCCACACTGCTTTTATGTCCACTATTCTGTACCAAACACTACGTAGTTTCCCCATCTTGGCAGAGCCTTGCGGCATCAGCATATAAACAGCTAAATTTTGTGTGCCTGTATATTTGTCATGCCATTTTGTTTGCCATTGCAGAGTTCTATCCCACCCTACTTGAATGATCTGGAATAGGAACACCCCAATATTTGTCCCAATTTCTCCTCAGTAATTAACAAATCTAAGCCTCAACTCTACCATCTCAGCTGTCTTGTCTAGTTTTGACCCCCAAGCATGTTGTAAGAAGAACTGGGAGTATACTAACAAAGGTACTGGATTTCAACTTCCTATTTAACAAGCTCCTTGGAGGTTTGGACTCATCTGGGTATGAAACCCAGACTGTCTTGATCCTTAGCCCAACAAGTGTTGTTGTTGTTTAGTCGTTTAGTTGTGTCCGACTCTTCGTGACCCCATGGACCAGAGCACGCCAGGCACTCCTGTCTTCCACTGCCTCCCGCAGTTTGGTCAAACTCATGCTGGTAACCTCGAAAAACACTATCCAACCATCTCGTCCTCTGTCGTCCCCTTCTCCTTGTGCCCTCCATCTTTCCCAGCATCAGTGTCTTTTCCAGGGAGTCTTCTCTTCTCATGAGGTGGCCAAAGTCTTGGAGCCTCAGCTTCAGGATCTGTCCTTCCAGTGAGCACTCAGGGCTGATTTCCTTCAGAATGGATGCGTTTGATCTTCTTGCAGTCCATGGGACTCTCCAGAGTCTCCTCCAGCACCAGAATTCAAAAGCATCAATTCTTCGGCGATCAGCCTTCTTTATGGTCCAGCTCTCACTTCCATACATCACTACTGGGAAAACCATGGCTTTAACTATACGGACCTTTGTTGGCAAGGTGACGTCTCTACTTCTCAAGATGCTGTCTAGGCCTGTCATTGCCCTTCTCCCAAGAAGCAGACGTCTTTTAATTTCGTGGCTGCTGTCACCATCTGCAGTGATCATGGAGCCCAACAAGTAGTTGAATGCAAAGGGACCTGACTTTACAGCAGACAGGACAGGACAGCCCAGTTTAAAACCAGCAGCCACAAGAATGAGAACACAGGTGCATGGGTGGTGCAAAGCCAAAAGATAACATAGGAACATCACAAAATAAAATAAAAAATCCTTCCAGTAGCACCTTAGAGACCAACTAAGTTTGTTATTGGTATGAACTTTCATGTGCATGCACACTTCTTAGGATACATCAGATGCAAGGAACATCACCTCACTGCCAAACAGCCAGAGGAAACAGGCATTTTCTAAACAAGATAACAAAACAGTTTTTGTGCCAAACTGACAAGTTTGAACGGTTTTATTTCAACAGCCACAAATGTTCTGATATTTACTCATAAGACAAAAGTACAAGTCAAGATCAAAATGAACAACGCAAACACAACCAGAACAAGAGGAGGAGCAGGGAAGGGAACTGAAAGACCTGAACAAGTTGCTTTATATTTACAATACTGAAAAACTAACTACAGGGCTGCTAGGCATCAGCTATCAGCTAAGGGTGCGGTGTGTGTGTGTGTGTGTCACTTAAGACACAACTTTGTGGAATACGGAATATTTAGAGTCAGCGTCTAAATAGCTTGAAATGAAACCTTGTTAAAAGCCCCCCGTTCTAATATAAAACTATGGGAAACTAAAAGTCCATATCCCCATGTATGAACACTACACAGAAAGCAATAAAAGAAAATGAAGCTGCCATAGTAGTGCAGGGTTGTAGAAGGTGGCACTTATTGTATGGATCCTTCCGCCTCCAAAACATCCACAATATGTGCAGCTGCAGGGCGCTTTTCCCGGCTCCTCCATAGTGCAGAGAGAAAACAGCTCAATGACCTTTTGATAGGAAGGATCCAGCTCTTCCATGTTGAGTGGTGGCCGAGTCCCAAGGGCAGCGTAATAAGCGTCTTCATCAAAGTCATCTTCATCAAAAGAAGACTCTACAGAGACATGACAAACAGGCCAGAGCAAGCCAGTCACCAGACGAAATAAAGGCCCTCACGGTTGTTATGCTGGTATCGAAGGAGGAGGGAAAGGGGATAGAAGGAGCATGCTCTAGGAAAGGCACAAAATTAAATCACTTGAGGGTCTTTTTAAAATGCAAAACTCAAGCGGACTGTTTTACACACACAAATATATTTCTCTTATCCCTTGGAAATGTTAAATAAGTACAACTGAGTAAAAGTTGTATTAAATCTTCAAAGTACAGTGGTACCTGGGGTTACATACGCTTCAGGTTACAGACTCCGCTAACCCAGAAATAGTGCTTCAGGTTAAGAACTTTGCTTCAGGATGAGAACAGAAATTGTGCTCCGGTGGCATGGCAGCAGCGGGAGGCCCTATTAGCTAAAGTGGTGCTTCAGGTTAAGAACAATTTCAGGCTAAGAACGGACCTCCGGAACGAATTAAGTACAGTGGTGCCTTGCAATACGAAATTAATCCGTTCCGCGAGTCTCTTTGTCTTGCGGTTTTTTCGTCTTGCGAAGCACGGCGCTTAGCGGCTATTAACGGCTATAAGAAAAAGGAAACAAACTCGCAAGAACTCGCAAGACGTTTCGTCTTGCGAAGCAAGCCCATAGGGAAATTCGTCTTGCGGAACGACTCAAAAAACAGAAAAACCTTTCGTCTAGCGAGTTTTTCGTCTTGCAAGGCATTCGTCTTGCGGGGCACCACTGTACTTAACCTGAGGTACCACTGTACAGTCATACCTCGGGTTAAATATGCTTCAGGTTGAGCGTTTTCAGGTTGCGTTCTGCAACAACCCGGAAGTAACAGAACGGGTTACTTCTGGGTTTCGCCGCTTGCGCATGTGCTCAAAATGATGTCACGCGCATGCACAGAAGCAGCGAATCACGACCCGCGCAGATTGCGTTCAGCTCAGGATGCAAACGGGACTCCAGAACGGATCCCGTTCGCATCCAGAGGTACCACCGTATTGGGCTGCAAAATAATGCTCAAAAGTCCCTAGGCCACAGCCTGTTCCCAAGGACCACAGAAAGCTTGGCCCAACAGAAAGCCAGCTTCTTGAGCAAGTCTGCACTTGGCTGGACCAAAAGGAAGCACACACACACACCTTCATCTTCTTCCTCCAGGTTAAGATGAGGTATCGAGAGAGTCATCATTTCCCAGAGTGTAAGCCCAAATGCAAAGATGTCAGCCTTGTCAGTGATGGGGCCATCTCCCTCGAGCGCTTCCTTGGGCTTCCAGGGCTCCGTGCCAATATAATGGGCTTCTGGGTCACTCACTGCACGGAAACAGAAAATCCAAATCAAGATATCAAGAGCCATCCTCATGACCTCCCAGTTGGCCAAGAGTAAAGCAGAGCAAAGGCGGACGCAGAGATCCAAGGGCAGAAAGCAGAAGGGAAGATGCAGCAAAGAGGACTTGGCCATTGAGACAGCAGCCGTAGGACATTAAAGGATGCCACACATACCCATCATATTCTCATCCAGAGGCAGCGAAACGCCCACGTCGCAGATCTTTATTGACTCAAAGTCACCTTTAATGACAACATTGGAAGATTTGATGTCACCGTGAAGCAAGTTCTTGTCGTTGTGTAGATACTGAAAGGCAGAGGTTCGGATGAGTGCCTTGCTACCAAAGGGAATCGGAACCGAAAGATAATTTCAAGGCAGGTGTGGGCTTTAGTGCAAGTCTCTCTTCAGGAAATGCCTCTCAAGTTTTCACCTCAAGTGCCAGGCACTGTTAAGGCGAAGAGTAGAGATTCAAGGCCCCCTGCTTTTAGGGATCCTGCCCTAATTCACGCAGGATCCTTGGACCACACATCTTGGAAAGGCCTCCTCTTTAAGCAATGTAGATGCTGGTAGACACCCCAGAGTTTGAAATCCTGCAATGTGGCACCTTCAAAGGACACGAATAGCGTCAGTAAGTGATTTCAATGAGTTAAAGCAGCTTGCGATGGTGCCAGCATTGCCAAGAGACAGAAATGTTAGAAAGGCGTGTGACCAACGTAAGGTGACAAGCCAGATAGCTCACCTAGCTAACTGTAACCCCCCCCAATGACTTCCTCAGGACACCTCTGCCAAATTCCTCTCCTTCTGTCAAGTCATCCCTACTCAACTGTCCTCCTGAAATTCCTGCCCTGGTTCCATGCCGCTCTTTGTAAATAGGGGCCACATCGCTTCCATGTGCTAAACGTAAGTTATTACTGCTGAAACCAATTGACTGTGCAACAGACCACCAGCCTTGCAGCAGTGGACATTATATCACCTGTCAGGGGACTGCCATCGGAACAGGGGAGGGAGGGAGGGGTACAGAGAGCCTCTGAAACTCCTGAGGAGCAGTTCCTCTTCCAGCGTTGGGGAAAGCCACACCTCCAGTGGAGAAGAGAGCGAAGGGGCCAGCCAAGCGAGGAAAAGGCTCAAGGATGCTGCTGAGAGTCCCAGCGCCTCACCTGGCCAGGAGGGACGCACGCCACTTCCGTCACCCAGCTTGCGCAGAGGGGTGAAATGCAAAGAGGGGGGAGGAGGAGCCTTGGGGTGCCGAAGTTCTTATGTTGGGGGAGAAGCCGGAAGGGGCCACTCCCGGATTCTGCAAGTGACTAAGATGGACAAGAACTTGGTAGATCTGCACTGTAAATACAGTGGTGCCTCGCAAGACGAAATTAATTCGTTCCGCGAGTTTTGTCGTCTTGCGATTTTTTTCGTCTTGTGAAGCACGGTGTCGGGAAAGTTTTGGAAAAGCTTCAAAAATCACCAAAGTCTTCAAAAACCTCAAAAAAGGCTACCACACCGCGTTCTATGAGTTGCTCCTCGAAGTCAAGTCGCAACTGTATTAACGGTGTTAAGAAAAAGGAAACAAACTTGCAAGACGTTTCCGTCCTGCGAAGCAAGCCCATAGGGAAAATCGTCTTGCGAAGCAACTCAAAAAACCAAAAACCCTTTCGTCTTGCGAGTTTTCCGTCTTGCGAGGCATTCGTCTTGCGAGGTACCACTGCACCACATTTTTCGCTCTATAAGACGCACCAGACCACAAGACGCACCTAGTTTTTGGAGGAGGAAAACGAGAAAAAAAAATATTCTGTATCTCAGAAGCCAGAACAGCAAGAGAGATCGCTGCGCAGCGAAAGCAGCAATCCCTCTTGCTGTTCTGGCTTCTGGGATAGCTGCGCAGCCTGCATCCGCTCCATAAGACGCACACACATTTCCCCTTACTTTTTAGGAGGGAAAAAGTGAGTCTTATAGAGCAAAAAATACGGTAGTTTGCGCAATAAAACCTGTAAAAGACAGGTCGGAGTCCTGCCTGGTTACTCACAAGCAACCATCGTCAGCATCTGACACCACCACTCTGCATTCTAAAGGGCTTTCCAACCGTGAAGCAGTCTCCCCCTGTCCAATACCATTTGCCACCTTCACAGCTTGTTTCTCCCACTGTGAACTGGACCTTTTATTTGTCTCCCTCCCACGGTCCCTTGGGACCTCTTATCCCTGGCACTCCAACCTCAGACAGTCTCTTCCCTCTGAGAGAGACTCTTCCCTTTGCTTCAGAACCAGAGAAGCCTTTTAGCCAAGCTTGTGTTCTCGAGACCAATGACTCTCCCATCGCTACAGCATCACATGCCAACCTCCAGAGACCTACCTTCAGGCCCCTTGCCATGTGCAAGGCAACTTTCAGGATGGTGGCAGCTGGAAAGGGCCCCAGATGTTTCGTGTTCCTTTCTTCAATTAGGTCATTGAGAGACTTTTCTCCCCCGTATTCCATGGCAAGGCACATGCTCCCATCTTTAGCTTCGGCAAACGCACGGTAGCCTTCAAAGACAAGCGCACAGCCATTTGTTTATGGGCCAGAAAAGCTATCTCCATTTAATGGCAGCCCACAATACAGTTATTCCCAATGTAAACCTTCAATGAACAGGGCTAGCATTCAGCCGGGGAAAAGCCAGTTTTTATCCTTGTTACACAATTTCCCCCATGTTCAAGTACTGCTATTTTCTAGCACTGTTTCAAAAACAAGATAAAATATAACATATATTTATAATACAGTCGTACTTTGGTTCTCGAATGCAATCCATTCCGGAAGTCCATTTGACTTCCAAAAACGTTCGAAAACCAAGGCACAGCTTCCAATTGGCTGCGGGAGCTTCCTGCACTCAATCGGAAGCTGCGGAAGTCGCGTTGGACGTCCGGGTTCCAAAGAACGCTTCAAAACTGGAACACTTACTTCCAGGCTTTCAGTGTTCAGGAGCCAAAACGTACAAGTACCAAGGCATTTGAGAACCTAGGTACAACTGTAATGGTATTAAAAGTACACCTTGGAGAATAAGTGTCAGGGAACTGCCATCAGCTCAGAGGCGAGAGGTGGAAGGGCAGTTGTGTTATAGGGAACCTCCGAAAGTCTTGCGAAGCAGCTCCTCCTCTGGCGAGGAGGAAAGCCCCACCTCCAGTGGGGAGGAGGTGGTGGGATCAGGGGATGCTAGGGAGAGCCTCAACACTGACCCTGAGCAGAAAGGGGAGGAGGGAAGTGCCCCTTTGCCAGCCCCCACTCTGCGCAGGAGGTTTCGGCGCATGGAGGGGTGGAGAAGGTTGGGGGTCAAGTGACTGTTATGCTGGGGGAGGTACAAGGACTGACCACTCCCAGATTCTGCTAGCCAGACATGAACTTGTGACGCTCTTCACTGTAAATAGTTTCACTAAGAATAAAGCCTGGAAAAGACAGGTCGGAGTCTTGCCTGTTTGCTCTCGAGCAACCACACCACCATCTGACAATGAGGATAAAAATTATGCAACTACATATGCCTCCCTAAGGAGACAAACGGAGCACCACCATCAAGAAGGCTCTCGGCTCATCACCCATTTTAACTCCGATGGCGGAGAACGTGGAAGAGCATCCCAAGATCACTTCAATAGACAGGCAAGTTGGCAGAGTGCTTTGCAATTCCCAGCCACTAGTTGTGGCAGGTTCCCTATTCACATTTTACAGCTAGGGAACAAAAGCTATCTAGACACCCCTGAATACCGTATTTTTAGCCCTATAGGGCGCACTGGCCCATAGGGCACACCTAGTTTTTTTTGGGGGGGGGGAACTATTCCCCCCCCCCAACCGCGGGGCTGGGGCAGGGGAAGCCCGAGCTTCCCCCGACCCCAGCCCCCAGAACAGGCTGCCGCCCGCAAGCCTTACAAGCCTGGCGGGACCTCCCACCGGGCTCCCAAGGCTTGCGGATAGCTTCCTGAAGCCTGGAGAGCGAGAGGGGTCGGTGCGCACCGACGCCTCTCGCTCTCCAGGCTTCAGCAAAAGCCTGCATTCGCCCCATAGGACGCACACACATTTCCCCTTCATTTTTGGAGGGGGAAAAGTGCGTCCTATAGGGCGAAAAATACAGTAATTTAGAAGAGCCACCTCCATCCTGTTGGCAGCAACAGGGCCAGCCCCGTCCTCATGGGCTTAAACGCAGGCTTCTTCAACATGCCCCAGCCTGGCAGTCCGCAGCTGGTCTTCAACTGCCAACCCTGCCCACTGCTACATTCCCATGGGACAGAACAGTGCACCCTACTCTTTAATGCCAGTTATAGCTGGCCCATATGAGGCTGCAGGCTCCTGCATGTCTGCACATAGGCAAATATCAGCCTGGGAAATATCAGCCTGGGAAAACCCTTTGAAGGTGACCTGGAAACTACAACTAATTCAGAACACGGCAGCTAGACTGGTGACTGGGAGCGGCCGCCGAGACCACATAACACCAGTCTTGAAAGACCTACATTGGTTCCCAGTACGTTTCCGAGCACAATTCAAAGTGTTGGTGCTGACCTTGAAAGCCCTAAACAGCCTCGGTCCTGTATACCCATCATTCAGCCCGGACACTGAGGTCCAATGCCGAGGGCCTTCTGGTGGTTCCCTCACTGAGAGAAGCCAAGTTACAGGGAACCAGAAAGAGGGCCTTCTCGGTGGTGGCACCCACCCTGTGGAACGCCCTCCCACCAGATGTCAAAGAGAACAACTACTAGACTTTTAGAAGACATCTGAAGGCATCCCTGTTTAGGGAAGCTTTTAATGTTTGATGTATTACAGTATTTTAATATTTTTGGGGAAGCTGCCCAGTGGCTGGGGAAGCCCAGCCAGATGGGCGGGGTATAAATAATAAATATTATTATTATTATTATTATTATTATTATTATTATTTATTATCCCGCCTCTGGCTAATAGGTCTGAATGAGGACCCTGCATTTCCCCCCCATTCAAAGCTTACCCACAATGTTTGGGTGCTGAAGGGTTTTTAGAATCTTGGCTTCTTCATTCAGCCTTTGTTGATATGTAGTTCTCCGGCTGGCGTCACATTTGAGATTGATTTTCTTCACAGCCCAGGGAGAGCAAGAGATACCTTTGAGAGACCTGGAAACAAACCATGGAAATCAGAGAGAGGGATCTGGGCAAACCAGATTTCTTGGACCACAGGAACGTCTGTTTTCTTCCGCCTCTGAGGATGGCTGAGGTAGCAGACTCAATCAGTTTTAATCATAGGCTATATTATTATGACATTTAGGAGTAAACGGCACATATTTCTCTTACCCCAACCCTAGATCAGGTGCGCTGATAAATCCAGAATTAATATTACTGTAATATGTCTCTAAATACAACCTCACATCAGCCCAGAAATCCTTTGATGTGTGAGTTTCAGATCAATCCAGGTTGCAGTACAGTGGTACCTCAGGTTAAGTACTTAATTCGTTCCAGAGGTCTGTTCTTAACCTGAAACTGTTCTTAACCTGAAGCACCACTTTAGCTAATGGGGCCTCCTGATGTATGGAAGTGAGAGCTGGACCATAAAGAAGGCTGATCGCCGAAGAATAGATGCTTTTGAATTCTGGTGCTGGAGGAGACTCTTGAGAGTCCCATGGACTGCAAGAAGATCCAACCTCTCCATTCTGAAGGAAATCAGCCCTGAGTGCTCACTGGAAGGACAGATCCCGAAGCTGAGGCTCCAAGACTTTGGCCACCTCATGAGAAGAGAAGACTCCCTGGAAAAGACCCTGATGTTGGGAAAGATGGAGGGCACAAGGAGAAGGGGACGACAGAGGACGAGATGGTGGGACAGTGTTCTCGAAGCTACCAGCATGAGTTTGACCCAACTGCGGGAGGCAGTGGAAGACAGGAGTGCCTGGCGTGCTCTGGTCCATGGGGTCACGAAGAGTCGGACACGACTAAACAGCAACAAGCTGCTGGCAGAGCACCATTTCTGTTCTCATCCTGAAGCAAAGTTCTTAACCCAAGGTACTATTTCTGGGTTAGTGGAGTCTGTAACCTGAAGCGTATGTAACCCGAGGTACCACTGTACATTGTAAGTACATGTAAGAACAACCAGGAGACGCCATATGAATTAGCCTGCACAGCAGTTAAGTGTTTCCACCATCTGAGCCACAGGGAAAGACAACTCACCCCAATAGGTATATAGACCCAGGGGAGACCGCCTTCTCTACCCCAAATCTGGCAGGTGCTTTACTAAACCAAATATTCCTGGCAGCTTTTAAATTACTACCTGTGAGAGCATCTGTTTATGGAAGTAGTTGTTTTATTTTTTAATTGCACTTGTTTTATTTTGAGTTTTTAACACCAATGTGCCCTGGGCTCCTTAGGGAGGAAGGGGCAAGATACGCATTTAATATATACATATTCTTTCCCAGCCCCCAGCAGCATAAATCCACTCCACTCGGCAATATCAGTCTTGCTGCTTGAAGTCCCCGCCGTCCTTTAAGACAACTTACCTTTTCATAAGATAAACATTGACTCCAGTTCCATAGCCAAGCTTCTGCATGAAGGGAGAGGCCGGAATAGCTATTGAGGGTGAAGAGCTACCCTGCCCTGTATTTGCAAAAAACAGAGATGTTGCTTTTGTTATTAGACATGCAAGAAAGATGTGTTTTCCATATCCGTGTGTATTCCATATACAACGGAACAGTAACACACCTAATACTTTCTTCCCCTTCTAAAGGAGGGCAAACCCCCTCCTGCTACAAGTTTTTCAAACAGAGCAGGGTATGGCAAGACTCCATTTGAATCCTTCTAACCAGCTTTCCCCAAACAGAGAGCCAGTGTGGTGTAGTGGTTAAGGGCGATAAGACTCGTAATCTGGGGAACCGGGTCCGCGTCTCCGCTCCTCCACATGCAGCTGCTGCGTGACCTTGGGCCAGTCCCACTTCTCTGAAGTCTCTCAGCCCCACTCACCTCACAGAGGGAGGAAGGGAAAGGAGATTGTGAGCCGCTTTGAGACTCCTTCAGGTAGTGATAAAGCAGGATATCAAATCCAAACTCCTCTTCTTGTGCTCTCAGATGGTCTCCACTTCAGCCTCCACCTGCCCCACCCACTATGGCCAATGGTAAGGCATGATGGGACCTATAGCCCCAATTTTTAGAGGCTGTTCACTCACTGCCCTGGAGAATAGCAGCAGCAGCAAAACAAAAACCTCTCATCTGCTTCTGCCAGGGAGACAGCAGGGATGGGGGCTCTGTGGCCCTCAAGATGTGGTTGGATGCCAAATCCCACGAATCCAAGCCAAGGTGGCCAGTGCTCAGAGATTCTGGGCCACAGATTCCCCATCTCTAACACAGAGGTAAACATCTATAAAGATGTTTAAAGATTCTTTTAAAGACTGTCTTAAGACAAAAAGACTTGATTCTCTTAAGGGAGTTCTTTTTGGATCATCTTTTAATAAAAAAGTTTTTTTTTAATCTTTCATCTTGTAATTTATTTTATAGGGAAACATGTATAGTTCAAATTTTGCCTGTAACACTCCCTAACACACATTGACAAAGCATAGCTTTAGAGGATATCTGAAGGCAGCCCCTGTTTAGGGAAGCTTTGAATGTTTAATAGGTTATTGTATTTTAGTGTTTTGTTGGAAGCCGCCCAGAGTGCCTGGGGAAACCCAGCCAGATGGGCGGGGTATAAGTATATTATTATTATTATTATTATTATTATTATTATTATTGCCTCACCTGATCTCTTTCCCACAGGTGGCTTGCTAGGGGTCTTGAAAGCAGTTTCCGCATCCATGGCTCAGAATTATTCTGTTGTGAGAGAAAGAAGAGTTCTTACAGTCCCAATTGCTCTCCCCACAGTTATTATCATTGGCCATTATCTACCCACCGTTCAGCTCTTAAGTTCCCAGGATGGGTTAGGATTCTTAAAACCCCACGTTAAAAGCAGTTTTGAACAACTATCAATCATAAAAATTAAAGGCTGGGGGGGGGAGTTTTGGGAGCATTTGGGGTGTGGGAATATAGGGACTGGGGCTCTCGCAAACCCACTGCAGCCCAATTCCCCTCACGACCCCCCAGTCCTAAGGAACCCCCCCCCCCCACGAAGTGCCATGTCCTGGGGGCGCCTCTTCTAGGTTTCGACGGGGACTGGGAGGAAATCCCTAAACGAACCGGCCCTCCACAGCCAGGGTCCTTTGCAACCCCTAAAATAAAAAGCTGCGGGGGAGGTTTGGGAGGATCGGGTGGGGGGCAGTTAGGGGCCAGGCCCTGCGCAATCCAAGGACCCCCCCATCATCACACCCCCTTCCTTGGGAACTTGGGGGGGGCGACATCCTGGGGTCGCTTTCCTTCCCACGTGTTTTATTTGTTCGTGCGATTTGAAGCCGAGGGGGGTTGTCCCCCTATGCCCCCTCCCTCTACGACCCCCCGCCCCCCCCCGCGCCTCCTTCGATCTTCCCCCCACCTGGGAGAGCCGGACGCCGCCCAGTCCCTGCACAGCTGCCTCCGTTTGAATCTTGGCGGGAGCGAGAGGCGGCGACGGTGGCCGGCGAGGCTCAGGAAGGGGGCGGGGCAGGGGCGGGGCCAGGGGAGGAGCCAGAGATAGGAAAGACTTGGGGGACAAAGTGTTTAGTGGGGGCATTTGCAAGGAGGAGTGTATGTTGTGGGCTGGAGGGGAGGGAATAATCCACCCCCAATCTTTATAAAAATCCAGTAACAGATGCTTTATCCTTGGGTGTCAGCGTTGCTCGTGCAGGTTCTTTGCTGTTCACTTGTGTTCCTACATATATTAAGTTAAACAGAATCCCCTGGCAAATAGAAGGGGAAGAATGAGGCAGTGAGAGATTTACTTTCTTGGGCTCCATGATCACTGCAGATGGTGACAGCAGCCCACGAAATTAAAAGACGCTGCTTCTTGGGAGAAAAAGCAATGACAAACCTAGACAGCATCTTAAAAAGCAGAGACATCACCTTGCCAACAAAGGTCCTTATAGTAAAAGCCATGGTTTTCCCATTCCACTGCCTCCCGCAGTTTGGTCAAACTCATGTTCGCAGCTTCAAGAACACTGTCCCACCATCTCGTCCTCTGTCGTCCCCTTCTCCTTGTTGAATTGGCAACAGCTAATATCACAACAGCTAAAAACCTGTGCGTTGTCAGGGCTCAGAAGGGCAGCATGCCTCTGTTGAATTGGCACGCCAAGCTTTTGCCTTTAAGAGCTGGGAATCTTTTAGCAAGAGGAAGGGGTGGAATCGTGGAGCTGTAGAGTTGGAAGGGACCCACAAGGCTCATAAAGTCTGACCCTCTACTCCTCCATGGTATTTGTCTAATCGTGCTTTTAAAGGCCAATCATTTGGTGGCCCATGCCTGCCTGCCTAACAGGGACGTGCACTTGCTTGCATAAATTCTTTCTATCTGTCCTGAGCCTTCCCAACATTCAGCTTCATTGGAGGCTGATGGGAATTAGGAGTCCGCAACAACATTTGGAGGGATGCACAGATCCCTCTTCTGCATTGTTGTTGTTGTTTAGTTGTTTAGTTATGTTCCGACTCTTCGTGACCCCTGGACCAGAGACGCCAGGCACTCCTGTCTTCCACTGCCTCCCGCAGTTTGGTCAACTCCATGCTGGTAGCTTCGAGAACACTGTCCAACCACTCGTCCTCCGTCATCCCCTTCTCCTTGTGCCCTCCATCTTTCCCAACATCAGGGTCTTTTCCAGGGAGTCTTCTCTTCTCATGAGGTGGCCAAAGTCTTGGAGTCTGAGCTTCAGGATCTGTCCTTCCAGTGAGCACTCAGGGCTGATTTCCTTGAGAATGGAGAGGTTGGATCTTCTTGCAGTCCATGGGACTCTCAAGAGTCTCCCCAGCACCATAATTCAAAAGCATCAATTCTTCGGCGATCAGCCTTCTTTATGGTCCAGCTCTCACTTCCATACATCACTACTGGGAAAACCATGGCTTTAACTATACTGACCTTTGTTGGCAAGGTGATGTCTCTGCTTTTTAAGATGTTGTCTAGATTTGCCATCGCCTTTCTCCCAAGAAGCAGGCGTCTTTTAATTTCGTGGCTGCTGTCACCATCTGCAGTGATCATGGAGCCCAAGAAAGTGAAATCTCTCACTGCCTCCATTTCTTCCCCTTCTATTTGCCAGGAGGTGATGGGCCCAGTGGCCATGATCTTGGGGTTTTTTGATGTTGAGCTTCAGACCATATTTTGCTCTCTCCTCTTTCACCCTCATTAAAAGGTTCTTTAATTCCTCCTCACTTTCTGACATCAAGGTTGTGTCATTTGCATATCTGAGGTTGTTGATATTTCTTTCTGCAATCTTAATTCCGGTTTGGGATTCATCCAGCCCAGCCTTTCACATGATTAATTCTGCATATAAATTAAATAAGCAGGGGGACAATATACAGCCTTGTCATACTCCTTTCCCAATTTTGAACCAATCCGTTGTTCCATATCCACTTCTAACAGTTTCAGTTTATTGGTTAATTTTTCTAGAGGCGACAGCTATGTGTTGATGTTCCTAAAGGCTGGCAGGGTGCAGATGGAGATGCGGGGCAAATTCCCTGGCATTTCAGCCAGAAGCTCAGCAGCAGAGGAAAGAGGGCAGCGACCAGGGAGAAGAGTCGGTGGAGGAAGATTGGAAGAAATTTAAAGACTATTTACAGAAACATTGTAAAATTAATGAATGTTAGAAGGATGTTGGAATGAAGTTATGTGGTTTTAGCAGAAATGTTATAAAGAATTAGGAAAAAACAGACTGTTAATTGGTGAAAGGAGGGAAAGTAAAGTTACATTATATTAAGATAAATTACAGGAGAAAAATTGGAAAAGATGGAAAGGATTTGCTGAAATAGTTAACCGAACTAGAATACAAAAAAGGGGGGTGTGAGGTCAAGGAAACAAGCAAATGAAAGATAAGTTATGGGAAGATTTGTTGTGGTTTTTTTAATGGATTTTATTTTTTCAGTTTTCTTCTTTTTCTTCCTTTTTTAATTTTTCCCCCTTATTGTGATGTGTTGTTTTGTTTTTGTTTAATATGGTGTTTTTACTTTTTCTTTTTGTAACCTTTAAAACTTTAATAAATATTATTTAAAAAAAAAAAAGGAAAGAGGGCAGCGGAGGGCAGAGGATAGCGAAGCCTGGGCAGAAACGGAGGGAGAGCGCCCCTTCCGGCGGAGACAGGAATGGCGCTTAGGGCAGCGGGCGGCGGAATGACGGAGGCAGGGAGGCGGGCGCAAGTAGAGAACAGTGCCTGCAGCCCTCCATAGGTTTCTCCCGCCCAATCAGAAGCTTCCAGGCAGAGTGGGTGGGCGGGAGCCGCCCATCAATCAATAGGGAAGGCGGGCACCGGGAGAAATTAAAGGACCCGTATTGGACCCCAAAGCCAAGAGTGACAGTGCTCGCTACCAATTAGGCGCCGGGGGATCGCGCGCGTCAGAGGGTGCCGCCGTCCCGCGTATGCCGGCGACGGGGGAGGGAGGTGCTCGGCGACGTCACGGGCGGGCCGCTCTCGCGACGCCGTCACGTGCCCAGAGGCGGCGTCGTCCCTTGCCTCTCCCAAGATGGCTCCGCCGGAGCGAGGAGCCGCGGAAGGAAGGAGGGAGGGAAGGGAGCGCCTTGCTGACGTCACGGGCGGGCCGCTCTCGCGACGCCGTCACGTGCCCAGAGGCGGCGTCTTCCGTTGCCTCTCCCAAGATGGCTCCGCGGGAGCGAGGAGCCGCGCAAGGAAGGAGGGAGGGAAGGGAGCGCCTTGCTGACGTCACGGGCGGGCCGCTCTCGCGACGCCGTCACGTGCCCAGAGGCGGCGGCGTCCGTTGCCTCTCCCAAGATGGCTCCGCCGGAGCGAGGAGCCGCAGAGGGAGGGCGGGGAGCGCCTCGCTGACGTCACGGGTGGGCTGATCTGCCGCGGCGAGCGGGAAGGCGGGGGCGGGGCGAGGTACGGAAGCCGGCGAGGGCCGCGCTCCTTCGCCAAGGCGGGCGCGCGCGCGCTGTGAGGGAGCTTGTGAGGGAGCTGCCCGGCGGCGCCTGTCACGGCGGCGAGGCGCGTCTCTCTCTCTCTCTCTCTCCGACAGCCTCCGCCATGGCCGGCTACGAGTACGTGAGCGCCGAGCAGCTGGCCGGCTTCGACAAGTACAAGGTGGGCGCGCTGAGGGGGCGGCGGGGCGGGACCGGCTGGATGACCTTTGGGGACCCCCTCTCCCTTCCCCCTATCCCTTCTCCTCTCAGGCGCCGGAGGGGCCTCCCCGCCGGGGCCTCCTCCCACCCTCGCCGGCCCCGCTGCCTTCCTCCTCACAGGGCCGGCCTTGGAAGCCCCCCCCCCTCTGGCCGGGCGCCTGCGGAACTCCCCGCTACTGCTACCCCCCCCGCTGGGCAGCAACGCAGAAGGGAGCGAGCGAGCGGCTGCCACGTGTTTGCCGGTTCTCACGTGCCCGGGCTGCAAGATGGGCAGAGCCGCTTGGGCGGCTCCTTGGTGCAGCCGCTTCCACGCCGGCCTTCCTGGGTCTCTTCTTCGCTCCGGGAGCCGGAGGGGTGGGGGGCGGTTAGGGGGTCCAGCGAGGACCCGGGAGAGACCCTTCGGCTGGACGGCGAAGCTCCCCGGGTGCGGCCTTGGGCCTCGCCGCCCGACCTCCTTCGCGGGGTTGTTGGGAGGGTGGAATGAGGAGGCGGAGAATGCCCTGGTCGCCCCCTGGAGCTCCTTGACCCCAGTCAGTTGATAGGGTTGTAGAGTGGGGAAGGGACCCCCAAGGGTCATCTAGTCCGACCCCAGGCAATGCAGGAAATATACAGTGGTACCTCGGGTTACAAGGGACGCGGGTGGCGCTGTGGGTAAAAGCCTCAGCGTCTAGGGCTTGCCGATCAAAAGGTCGGCAGTTCGAATCCCCGCGGCGGGGTGCGCTCCCGTTGTTCGGTCCCAGCACCTGCCAACCTAGCAGTTCGAAAGCACCCCCGGGTGCAAGTAGATAAATAGGGACCGCTTACTGGCGGGAAGGTAAACAGCGTTTCCGTGTGCTGCGCTGGCTCGCCAGAGCAGCTCTGTTACGCTGGCCACGTGACCCGGAAGTGTCTCCGGACAGCGTTGGCCCCCGGCCTCTTGAGTGAGATGGGCGCACAACCCCAGAGTCTGGCAAGACTGGCCCATACGGGCAGGGGTACCTTTACCTTTACCTCAGGTTACAGACGCTTCAGGTTACAGACTCTCCTAACCCAGAAATAGTGCTTCAGGTTAAGAACTTGGCTTCAGGATGAGAACAGAAATTGGGCTCCAGCGGCGCGGCAGCAGCAGGAGGCCCCATTAGCTAAAGTGGTGCTTCAGGTTAAGAACAGTTTCAGGTTAAGCACGGACCTCCGGAACGAATTAAGTACTTAACCAGAGGTACCACTGTAATGGGACGCGGGTGGCACTGTGGGTTAAACCACGGAGCCTAGGGCTTGCCGATCAGAAGGTCGGCGGTTCGAATCCCCACGACGGGGTGAGCTCCCGTTGCTCGGTCCCTGCTCCTGCCCACCTAGCAGTTCGAAAGCACGTCAAAGTGCAAGTAGATAAATAGGTACCGCTCCGGCGGGAAGGTAAATGGCGTTTCCGTGCGCTGCTTTGGTTCGCCAGGAGCAGCTTAGTCATGCTGGCTGCATGACCCGGAAGCTGTACGCCGGCTCCCTCAGCCAGTAAAGCAAAATGAGCGCCACAACCCCAGAGTCGGCCACGACTGGACCTAATGGTCAGGGGTCCCTTTACCTTTACCTTTACCTTACCACTGTAATCAGATAGAATCGTAGGACAGAGTCTCATTAATGATTCCCACGTTGGAAGAGAGTGTATGGGGGCAGCTGCAAGCGCATGAGAATCCTCTCCTGCAGTGAGCAAGGGGCAGCCTGCGCATGGTCTCCACACAGGACTTGTGACAACTTTTGGCTTATTCAGGTTTCTCCTTCTTAGCCCTGTGGTGCCGAGGTTCGCGAGGGACCTTACACATCCCCAAAGGGTCGACATGCGTTCTTCTCCTCCGTCCCCATCCCTGCAACATTTTAATTTTGCCAGACATGTGCTGACTGTCAGGGCTGCATCCGGTGAAAGAGCCATGTGGGAATAAATGGTGGAATTGCGAAATCTCAGCAGCTTAGTTCAGGCAATACCAAATGTTCTTTCCTTTGGCAAGGAGCAGATTGCAGGGTGTGGCTGGTGGTTACAACTCAGTGGCGGAGCAGTTGCGGGTTCAATCCCCATCCTCTCCAAGGCGGGCTCAAAAAGACTCATTGTCCAAAGTCCTGCGAAGCCATCGCCTGTCAGCTAGAGGAACAGTGATCATGACTCAGTATTTATATCCCACCTTTTTGGCAAGGAGCACAAGGTGGTGTACCTACTTCTCCCAATGTTATCCTCATGGCAACCCTGTGATATATAGGGGTGTTTTTTTTTTAATGATACATCATGGCCAAGTGGGTGTTTGAATCCTGCTCTCCCAGGTCATGGTCTGGCACTCTACCCACTACACCACACTGCCTTTTTAGCAATGTAGTGGCCAAACCACTCCTGCCTTTCCTCCCAATCTTGGAGCGGGGTAGAGATGCCTATGAAACTCCAGGGCTGATCGCCACCAACTTTTGCAGCTTCCAGGCTGCGAAGGAAGCTCAGATTAAATGAGTCAGGGGAGAACCATGTGTGCCACCTTGAGCTACTTGGAGAGGAAGGTGGGATAAAAATGTCATCCTGAGCATCTTGGAGCTCCTTGGCTGAGTGGCAGCCAAATGGGCAGCTTCATTTTCCCAGGGAAAGGGCGACTGGAGTCTTTCTTGGCAGCCATGCGCCTGAGACACCTGGAGCACATTGCCCAAGAGAGGACCACACAGGCTAGCTGCAGGCCTCCTGCTCTTGTTGGAAAATGAGATTGGGATGGGGCTTCCTTAGGCACAAACTGTCCAGAGGCAGAGGCAGGCTGTCACCCATTTTTTATCTTTGTGAACAAGGCTAGTCAAAAATTGTGCATCCCTGTAGATGAGTGGAGGAAACCATTTCAGTTTGCAAAACAGACCCAGTAGTGGGATTTTCCTACAAATGTCTGATATTTTAGGGATTGGGGTTGGTGAAATACAAGGGGGACGTGTAACCAACTGCTTCTCTATGTCCCCAGTCTGCTCCCCCCTTCTCTTTCTCTCCCCCCCCACAACCGCTTACTGTTCTTCCTGTTTCCATCCTCCCTGCTCACAAAGGTGAGGCCCAGCATAAATGTTTGTCCTCAGAGGTTAAAATTCATGCTGCCCTGTGCGCGGTGGTTTTGCTCAATGCCCCCTCACTTTTCTCTCCTGCTGTTGTCCCCTTGAGCAAGCGCATTCATATACAATCCTTAATTTTTCTGGTGCTTTGGAGGGTGGGAGGAGTGTTTTCTTGTTTTTCTTGTTTTCTACTTCTTTAAATCTTGGGGTAGAATGCCTCTGTCTTTCCTTTCAGTAGGGCAGTTTTGCAGTCAGAACGGCTGGCCGGTCACCATGGTTCTGCAGTCCATTGGGACTGTGGTTTTCTGCACAGATCATTCCTCTAAAAATCCACCTCTGAGTGGTCACCCACATCACGTTCAGTTTGCATAGTCGTAGTTGCTGAACCTTAGGCGTAGGAAGGCACCGTGTCTTGTCTGTGGTACAGCTCGCCCCCTTAGGAATAAACCTTTTTGCTTCCATCTGCACCTTTCTGCCATATGTGAGACTCAAATGGTCAGACTTCCTTTCTCTAATAGAAGCTGGTTCAATAAGAGACAGAGATTTCCCAGTTTTGAATATTGCTCCGTGGTGTCGACACGCTTAGCTGCATGTCTTGCAATTTTTGTCAATAGCTGTGGATTTGGAGTGGCCTGATTATTACTAGCTTAATTTGAGGGGGCCGAGTCATTGAGATTTTTTAATTGCTCTTGAGAGTTATAAGAATGAACTGATTATCTGAGAGGCAGCCTTTTTTTGGGGGGGGACGCAGCCCCCTTGTCAACAGGAGGAGTTCATGTCTGCATCTTAGAACGTAAGACGAACCCTGCAGGATCACACCAAAGGCCCACCTGGTCCAGAATTCTGTTTTCTTCTGTTATCTGGTATTCAGAGACATGACACTGGAGCTCATAAATGGCCATTATGAGTACAGTAGTAGCTTTTGATAACTTTAGCCTCCATGATGCTCCCTAAACCATGGTTACCAGATTTTTTTCAATGAATCCGGGGACACTTTTTTTTTTTTTTTAAGCTGAGTAGCAACAGGGAGTCAGTAGTGGGCAAGGGATGCAGGTGGTGCTGTGGGTTAAACCACAGAGCCTAGGACTTGCCGATCAGAAGTTTGGCGGTTCGAATCCCCGTGACGGGTGAGCTCCCGTTGCTCGGTCCTTGCTCCTGCCAACCTAGCAGTCTGAAAGCACGTCAAAGTGCAAGTAGATCAATAGGTACCGCTCCAGCGGGAAGGTAAATGGCGTTTCCATGTGTTGCTCTGGTTCGCCAGAAGCGACTTAGTCATGCTGGCCATAAGACCCAAAAGCTGTACACCGGCTCCCTCGGCCAATAAAGCGAGATGAGCACCACAACCCCAGAGTCAGCCACGGCTGGACCTAATGGTCAGGGGTCCCTTTACCTTTACCTAGCAACAGGGAGTCAGTAGTGGGGATGGTGCCCTTTCGCACCCTGTGAAACATAAATGCGCAGAGTTTTTTAAAAAACTGGGCAACGCTCGCCCGCCCACAACTCTTGAGCCTCCCCCCCATCAGTCAAAACAAAGTGGGAAGGAGATCTATACTGCCAGACATCCCCGATTCTCCTTCAGCAGTGGCAGCGGGAGTCAGCAGCCCGTAGCCAGCCTGGTAGTGCAGTTGGCTCTGGCTGGCTGCAGGAGCTGCTCACTGCCATGGCGCCCCCCATTTTTCCTCACCGGAAGTCCTCGTATGATGTGTTATGCACAAGACACGTCATATGGGAATTTCTGGCGAGGAAAAGTTGCAGACACCACAGCAGCGAGCAGCTCCTGAAGCCAGCCAGAGCCAACTGCGCTACCAGGCTGTGGACTGCCGCTGCCACATTTCCTGGGGACAGATTTGCAAATCTGAAGACATTCTGGGGACGGAATTTGTCCGGGGACAGATTTGCACATCCGGGGAGTGTCCCCAGGAACTGGGG